TTACGCGAATCTCTTTAACATATCAGTGAGGTACAATCAAACTCTTGAGAGGAAACAAACGGCATTAGCATTCTCAGCAACACTTCTAAGGACCACAGTTACTGCCGCTAGAAATCAATTAACTTTTTAAGTTCGTAGGTACTTTTGCGTACAACTAAATTGTTCAAACTAGTCAGTCACTAAGTGACTGGCAGTGTGAAAGAATCTATGCATGAATATTAGCTTAAGTGTTACACTAAGACTTCTCATGGATTGCTTCCCACCATTTTGTCTTAGTACAGTGTAGGATGACATTGATTCAACCAAATTGGTTACTAAATCAGCAAAAACACCAACTACTACTTATAATAACTGAGCAACTCATTGACCTGATACAACTATGAGTACAGGGTTGTGAGTTAAGTTTAATGTGTGATAACTAGTGACACTAACTGGTTACTCAGACTGAAGGAGGAGGTGATGTAATCATGACTATACAATTGACAACCTGACATTAAATGAACTATCTACAGTTTGAGGAAATGATGCAAACCAACTTTTAAGATTCAGTAAATCGATGTACCGGTTTCCAGCGAGTCATAATGAAATTGAATGTCTTTTCTTTTGAAAATGACTTTAGATACTTTCAAATTTTATTTGTATAAGGAATACTGTTTGCAAGAATAAGATTATTAGTTTTTGCCATAAATGTAATTCCAGGCTAAAGCTTTTTATTTTATAAATACACATAAAAAATATAAAGTAGGCGATAAGTGTTCAAACCTTAACATATAACGCCTAATTTTCACATAATCTAATAAGTAGGTTTACTACGAATAGCATAATTATGATCGGACAACCATATACCTGTGGTGTATTTTGTAACCGTATATCTCATTATTTGAAGGCATAATGCCTAAAAATTATGTTTCATACAATGACGACTACCATAGAGTTGTTTCCATAGCCTATAGTTCTCAAATGTTATTTAAAGATAAGCATGATAAAAGGGATTATGGCCACCAGATGTTTCAAAGTAGCTAGTAAATCCTGTTATTCATATTAACAATCGTTGGTCTATATCCGCAAAACATGTAGCGATGACAATATTGATTTTTTAGAAACAAACGTCTCCACGTAACAGTGTAGTCCTTTTGTGGCATACGTGAGTAGTAATGGATAACATTTATTAGGACTGATGTAATTAGGATTGAACTTTTTCGCCTGAAAGTGAAATTAATAGAGATATGAAACTTTATTCATGTGATTTCTTCTTATCTTTGTTTGCATGATACGTAAGTGGACGGGGCCGAAGTCTTGTTAAATACCAATAAAGTAATGGAAAATTTATCGTTAAACTTCCCAATATTCAATGAAAGATAATGAGTACTGCTTAACTATCAAATGAATCTAGAATTGCTGTAATCCGTGACATATTCTGACGTGCTTAACTTAGATGCATAATCTGTTTTCTAGTAATCTATGAGACGTCAAAATCAATCTACAGTTAACTGTATTCTGAATAGAAGCTATTGTACATAAGGTACTGACATAATGCAAGAGTAGAACTTGGGCATTGTGGTAGAATCATAGTTTCATTTGTGTATTTATTAGTTGTATCACATGATAAAACGGTATTATTCAATGAATTATATTTTAGACACGATTTACTGTCCATAGTCATATCAAGGTGACGTCCAAAGTGTCTCCCAGTAAATAATACTGTTTCAATATGTGACGCATTTACTATACCAACGGAGAGCGGAATTAACGTGGGAGATGGAAATTATGTTGTTACTGAGAACCAACCGTGTAGGAGCAAAATCTCAATTAATGATATATTCTGGCAAAGCAATGAGATTTCCCCTTCCCTGGGAGACTTTTAGGTGACCTCAAACCGACCAATGAGAATTCAGATGCTTTTCTATGATTTATTAGCAAGAAAAATAAAAAGCGGATTGTAGTAAATATTTTTGTGTAACGTGATTAAGGGATTTAGAAAGTTTTTCGAGTGAATTATATGATATGAAATCAAAATAGATTGTATAAGGAAATTCATTCATCTGACTTCAAAGCATTAAAACACGTGGGTTGTGATATTGACGTAAACAAAACTTTAAATGCCTTCAAGCTGCTTCTATATTATTAATATGAGCTTATTTATTGAAGAATTTACAGACTGCTACTTATGGAGAACAATGTGGTAATCATACTTCAAGCTTCTGAGGCGTCAATATGCTTTTCAGTCGCTACTGTAATCAATAGTTTCAAGAAAAATAGATTTCTGAATAACTGGAACCAATGTCTTTTACTTTCGAAAATGTCTACAACCAGATATCTTGTCCTGAGCTCCAAAAATCTAATCATACAGAAAAAATAAACAACCTACTCATTCCTTCTTTAAGTTTCTGCCTCTTTATTTCCTTTTCCCCACCATGCTTTAATCTATGTCATACAACACACCATACCTACCTAAGAACGTAGTAATTTTACAGTGGGTTCTCGGGCATTAAAAAAAGTTTTTATTTTCAATATCATCTAAATCTAAGCATCACTGTGTCGTAACCGAGTTAACTGAAATATGCAGCATAACCTCATCACAAGTATATATCATACAACTCCTCACTTTGCTCATTATCCTTGAAATATGTGACTACCTAATCAACAGAAAGACTACAAACTCACTTTTATGGTTGTTGGCTGTTTCACGGAAACTTGAAGGTCGCTCAAGAACGGCAAAATTCTATAGTTTGAACACAGTCAAAGCAATAGCTACTTCAGAATAGCATGGATTCATTTTATTTCGCCTTTTCTCTTCAGCTGCTTACAACCTAAAACAATTCTACCAGCAGTTCGTGCAAATGTTTGCATACTCGAATCAACTTGATAGAAAATTGTCGGCTTGAATTATAGACAACATCTGTATGACGTAATTGAAGAAACACGAGTTGAGTGAATGAATATGATGATGATAAGTTTACCAATAAAAAGAAGGATAAGACGAATATTTCAGAGTGGAAGTTGGATAAGAGGGGAAGATAAATGTATTCAGCATACTGAGAAAGGTTACTTAAGATATGTGTACAACGTTCATAAGATTTACGTTAGCCGAGAAATAATGTGAGTAGAATTCAGTTGAGAAGTCCAACAGTATTCATTTCCTCTCCCAGTATCTCTTTCGAACAAAGATATCTTATACGATTTAAGTGTTTTCATTAGCTCTTCCTTATATCTGTTGACGTCAAAATACATCCTACTTCAAGATTCTTTACGATGAATACTTCCTAGTAGATAATCATCTATAGCTTGTTGAACTCCAACATCAAGGAAGTGGAACTTATCATTCTGTCCGCATTCCATTGTAAATTCTATGTTTTGGTATCCTTTGTTGAGTAGAATAAGCAAATACGAGGCGTGTTTCAGGTTATCACAAACAACGAACTCATCATCAGAGTACCTACTGTAGAGGGTTGTCTTGCTGTTTACGTACTTCATACTGGTATTTTCAAGGTTACTTATAAAGATGTCAGTTATTACGGGAGGCATGAGAATTTCCTTCATAATTCAATTAATTTGACGGTACATAACGCTGCTGAATTTAAATTGTACATTTTGAGTGTATATGAGTTAACTGTGCTTCAGTTCTTCCTTCGATAAAAGCCGAAGATCAGAATGCTGACATGATTTCTATAGTTTCTTCTAGGGTTATCCTTGTAAACAGTGCAGAGACATCAAAAAACACCATGGCATGTTTATTCACTCAACTTTTATTTCTTCAACTTCACCATGCAAATGTTGTCTTTGTTTTAAATTGATACAAGTATGCAAATATCTGAGCAAACTGGTGTTTAAACTAGTTAAGGTTGTAAGCAGGTGGTGAGATACCACAAGATAAAATAGATTCATGGTATTCTACTAAAGACATTGTTTTCTTTCAGTTTGAATTTGTGAAAAGAAGAAAGTGTATCAAAGTTTCATATTTTCACTTTCATAGATAACTGTAAGAAAATTTAATAAATGCATCTCAGCGGAAGTTCTCACTTTGATGCTGTGGGTGGTAAGCCACGTGTATAAGGTGATGAACATTGGCACCCAGCTGTTCAGATCTCAGGAGTTGAAGCGAGCTTTTAACGTCCGGATGACTGTCTGAAAACCAAACGCTGAGGCCGGTGAATCAAAGCTTCTTGTAATTAACTCAACTTTGGGCCATGTAGACAAACTGATTCATGATTTTTTGCTAAATATGATGATGAAAAGACTATTACAAAAGCTCAAATGAATTCATACTGAGAAACCCAAGCACTAGAAGAGCATAAAAAAGATGTGCAATTCTGGTCATCTAGCAGCGAATTAAAAAACAGCAGTCAACAAACAGTGAAGGATAACAGAAAGATCAGAATGCAGTTAACAAGCGTTAACCAGTGAATTAGATGACAAAAACCAGACCTTTATTTAACGTCCATAGTAGGTTTTAGTGTAAACTGTTAAACATATCTGCCTAAATGATGTCTTCAGCACAACTCACCGACATCAAGTATAACTTCGGAATGAAAACGATCAAGTGGCTGGTTGAAGTTGAAAGAGAAAACGATGAAGTTGGATGATGCTTACAGTGTTTCTTGAAATGAATCACTGGACTATAACATTGCGTTCGTATAGAAACGGGATAACCACAAGAACCCCGATTTTCAAGGACTCCTAAACTATGATGAAGCAGTCTTCTTATGCTTACAGGTTTTTAATGGTTTTTAGACTAATATCAATCAGTGAAGAAACGTTCATTGAAATCAATAAATTCCTCACAGACCCTAACTTTCACCTGATTTTCAGTGATAATATTAGAATAATACACAGACACCATAAATCACACTATGGTTTATAACATTTATTTGAGTAGACTTCGGCTTAATGACTGGTCATTAAATGAGAGGAATGTCATTTATTAGTATTACTTTTATTATCATTGCAAGAAAGAGTATCATTCAACTTATGATTGATTTATATTTTGTTCATTTTCATAGAAGTCTTGGAAATACTGGACTTCGAGTATCGATCCTTAGTTTAGGTAAGTTTGTATTAACTGGGAATATGATTTTTTGATCATTCAGTGTGATGTTTACCATTTTTGAAAATATGAGGCAAATACTCTGGCCACCTTTTCATAGTGCATCAAAAGAAATTAAACACCATGAGTAAACCTAAAGCTTGCTAAAATTCTGTCAATAACTTCAAAGCATTATCCAGATGAAAAGACAGACGTGAACAAGATTGCCCGAAAAAGGGCTTACAATAAGATATAAATGGAACTCATCAAAAGTAGATAACACTGACTGGTTGCAAGAGACGTAGATATCTTTGGTTTCTATTATGTGATGATACATCAGAAAATACGGATGGAGGGTGGACGGTGTCTATTGGTGAACCTGAAAGAAAACGTTATTCTGAATTAAATCTGTGTTAAAAAATGTAATCATAACCTGTTTACTTTTTATACAGCAACTCAATTTAAACCCTACTGCTTCGATATACTCCACTTGGTGCTCCATCTCCTTATTACTGTTCTCAACTACAAATCTTGGTTTATACTGTGTAATGTCCGAAGGTGAAATGAAAATTAAGACCACAGCCAGATTCGAACCAACTACCACAGGGTTTCCAGCCAGACGCTCTACCAACTTAACTACGAGGTCCTATTACCGACCGAATTTTTATTTCACTTCAATCACTAAAAGTTGTGCCCGACTACCATGTGAATTAGTGTGGCGTTATTTCCACTTGATCGTATTCACACTGACTGTCTATTCAGGACTTCTCATCCCAATCCAAATGTTACTGAATTAGAGAGGAAGAGCATCATATTGATTATCATTTTGACCATCTGAGATAGCAGTCGTTTGGCAGACTAGTCCTGACTAGACAGTCAGTGTGAATAAGATCAAGCAGTAGTAACGCGTCACGAATCCATATGTCAGTCGTGTGAAACCTTTGATGATCTAAGTGAAATAAAAATCTGGTGGGTAGTCGGACTTCATGTTTCAGTTGGTAGAGCATCGAGTTGGAAACACTGTGGTCGTTGGTTCGAATCTGGCTGTCGTTCATTCCACCTTCAATCATCATTAAGCATAAATACTAGTCTACCAAACTACGGCTATCTCAGACTGTAAAAATGGAAATCATGATTTACCTTTTACTCTTTGGATATACATAATTTTTTATTTAACTATGATTTGTCATTATTGTTGATTGAGTAACTGAATTTACTGGTAAATCCTAATCATGAGTTATTCCTGTCCATCAAGAAAAAGTGTTATTTTATTCACTTACTGTAATCTTTCTTTTATTTCATACTACTTGTAGTTCATGAGCAGTCAATAAGGAAAATAAAATCTATACAGTTAGCAAGTATTATTCGAAGCATGAAAACTGGTCTCTGTTTTCTTGAACATTTCGGTTAGAATTCGACAAACTTTCTGTGAAAGTTATCCTGAGATCATATTTTAAAAATTCATTATGTATTCTACTGAAGTTGATTATTTTCACAAAGAGTTTCTTATCGAGCTACTGCTGAACATCATTATGAAATGATAAGTTCCTCTGTGTAATTTTAAGGCAACTGGTGTGAAGAACGAAAGATTCTTTTCTTCCTCCCTCAAATGTCCATTATTGAACGCCATAAAGTAACTTGAATGAGTGAAAGTTAAGTCACGATTCGAAATAACTATATATACATTATTCTCTTCTACTCATTCAACAAGAAAATTAAAGGGCAAAGCGAAATAGTTAACTTTCATTCTCTTCCGCAATCTGTTAGACAGACAATAGCTGAGTAGAGGAATTCGTTTGCATGTTGCATGTCTGGTATTGCATTTGTCCTACGATATGTTTACCAAATATCTAAGATTTAATATCTGAAAGATGACACTATTGGGCTTTATTTGTATCCAGCACTGTAGCTACAACTTATAAACTTAAATAAAGGCAACCTTTAGATTTTGTGGACAGAGATATTTTTAAATGGGTTTTTATTTGTTTTGGTTATTTTTGATTTATTTTTCCTTAAGAAAGGGAATTTTTTTGAAAATAAATAAAAACTGTCTGAAATTTCAATCCACAAATCTCTCAGTGAGATTCAGAACCGAATTAAAAAAGTGCTGTAACAAATTTAGATATTATTTCTTTTCAGCTAGTTCATGATGGTACTGTTAGATCGATGTGACGGTATGAATTTCTATACCTAATATGGTATTGTAACCTATATTATTCTGTCAATTTATCACACGAAAAAAACTGGTTTTCATTTTATCTGGTTCATTTTCGTCATTGCTAACTAGATGTGTTTTGGAAATGATTTCAAGTAATGTAGCGATACATGCTGTTGAATACTTGAACAATAATCCATAGATTCCACTCATGAAGGCCGCTTTGTTCTTCAGATTCAAAAATGGTGGTTAGACAACAAAAAGGACATTGCATACGTAGCTTTGTCACAAAGCTTTCTATGGTATATAAATGTATTCACATTACTTTTGGTTATTTCTAGACTTTGATTGGAGGGCGTTCCCCCTTTATTTTGTCGTTTTAACCATTCTAATACCTACGGATATGATCATAGTATCTTTACTTTGAAGCTGCTGACTGGTTCTTTGACGTCTCTGGGATTCAAGCCTCTTTCAAAGTATCTAGATAAAAATATTGCACACCACAACACCTTTTGTATGTCTCAAAATCTTCTTTCATATCCTCAAACATACCGTACACATAGAGCAGCGTGCCTAGTTTCCATGATTAGTCTACTATTAGAGGGGCTATGAAACATTTCTTTGCATTTGAGACTAAAAATGGGGTTTAAACGTCCCAGATATTACTGATAAACTATGCGTGTGTCGTAGTTAAACGAAATAAATTTGAACTAATAACAAGGAACAAAATGAATGTACCTACGATGACTTTATCCAGGAATCATGATACTAAAGAATACTTCAGACCAGGTTTTCATCACAGACTATATTTCAGGTTGGTATACATCACGGACTGACATCAGTTGGAGAGTCACTGAAAACCTGAGAGCACTGAACAGCCGTTTCGTTCTATTAGGGGATTCCTTATTGGTAAGCACTCATGACCATGCCAAAGATCGCATTCAGGAACTTCAGTTCCACGGTGAGCAAGTTATCATTGAGCCACCAGGCTACAGTCAAACAGTTCACGTTTTTTTCTGTCAGATCATTATATAAAGTGAACTTTATCCCATGCCACCTCTGAGTGATTGCTCTCACCTTCAACTTGGTTCGTTCCACCGGTCACGACTTCTTATTAGGCCTTCAGGAAATATTATCTTGAAGGAAGTCATCAGCTAGTCTTAGACAGTAATTCAATTTGAAGGTTTGTGAGAATTTGTTGGTTTCAAGTTGGTGTTTTCCAACGCTTGTATCGAAACATTTATGGCCATTCGATATGCTTAACTGAGGTTGTTATTATATTTTATGCCAACCTAACTCATCATGATGAGATAACCAAATTACTGTAATCATCAATGGGTGCTCCTTATTTAATAAAGAATCCCTTACATTTCTTGTATCCTAACTTTTTAACACCCTCTAGGAAGGTCATTCTGAATTTTATGAATGTAATCAGTAGATCTTTTGAAGCACTTTCAATCTACTTAGATTCTTCTTTTGCTGGCCATGTTTAAAGTTGTTTGCGTCAACGTTGAACAATTTAACTCAAGAGGTAGCTTATGTATACAACTGTGTAGTAACAGGTAAAATAATGTATGCATATGAGGATAGTCACAAAAACGTTCACCAGGGGAAAAAAGGCTGAGCAGTTCGTACAGTAGCAGTATGGAATGCTTTCCTGACGGCTGTCAATAATGTATGCCTTAAAATTTCATGTTAGTTTCCCATTCAATTCAAAATTTAAAGAAGTTTCTTCTAGCTTACAACTACGTGTATTTGAAGGGAGGTTTCCTGGTGTATATTATATCAACTAATTTTTCTAGCTGTTAACTTTGATGAAAGCATACTTTAAAAACTCCATTTCTTCTTCTGGGTCAGATGTACACATTTTCTAGACGCAGGATGAAAAGGACAGCAGAGTAAATTTCTCGTCCTACTACAAGGACGGTTAATAGATCTTTCAACGGATGTAACATCTTTGTTTTGAATGAGAAACTTGTCATCACTATATCTTGTGAAGAATTTAGACTGTTGGTGTTGGTGTCATCTAGTTAACTATTCTTTCGTAGTCTAGAAACAAATTGCTTGGATATGTTAACGCTCTTCTCACCAGAAATAGGTAAACTAATTAAACCCGAAATTTCATGAGAACATTTGGATCATTACAAACAATGAATAGACATTCAGTCAGTTGTGAATTCACACTGATGTCTTCTGTTTTTTTAGCAACACATAGATCTTTGCATATTTTCTAAGGTGTCATATTACGTAGTTCAAATTCAGAGTTTTTCTATTTGTCACTATATCTTTTGGACTCTTTTCTATTCTTTCTTACAATCCAGGTACAAATATCACTTTCGGAAACCAGATACCAGATGAGGTAGGTGCGGAGTCAGTTCACTTTATAAGTTTGTTGAAATGATCAGATGAAATTAATTTCAGTGTTATTTTTCAAAGTTAATAGTATTTCAATTCTTATTTATACCAAATTTAAAGAGGGAACAGTTACATTTACCTTTCTTTATCGGAGATTTTTACTGAAAACCAAAAATTGGAAGAAATTCTATTAGCCGTTTTGTTGTATATATCAAACCAGGATCTTGATCAAAGATGTCGCGAGTGAATAGTCATAAGAAGAGATACAAATTGTCAAGGCAGTTATTCGATCTTATTGGTGTGACATTTCAATTGTGACATAACTTTTGTAGTTTTAAGTAAGAAGCTCAAATAATTAAGACCATCGGGTAAAGGCATCTTAGATAAGGTGCACGATATGTTGCATTTTAGTCTGCGTGTAATAAGTTCCTATAACATTTAAAATTCTGAAGACCATCAATTATAATCAGCAAGAGTTAGATTCACAGAACTATTCTAATGGCGACTAGAATGAATTAATAAGAAACAGAACCAGTGTAGTGGATAAGATTCATAAAAATAAGTTTGAAATTTTATTATCACCGTCATCAGATGGTCACTTTGCAAGTTGAGATATGATGAAGTTAGTGGACGGTTTTATAAATAGGGTAATAATGCGTAGTTTCAAGAAAGTTGAGAATTTCTAAGTGTGTAGTTTGGTGATCATACCGCTGACTAGAATGGTGTTATAAATCAGTAGTTGAACCCAATACAAAGTTTGACATACGCCTACAAACAGTGTGATTTGTAAATAATGTGCAAACTGTCTTAATAAGAGCCAAATTTAACTATGAATGAGCACAAATTATTGATAACATTCATATGCTGGTCATTTTTATAGAGGCAGGAAATTAGGGTTTATAGGAAATTCAGCTGAGTGCGCAAATCAGGGTGATATGTGTCATTATGTTGTTCTTCAACCAGGCCTTTATCATTTGTTTCTTAACTGTTTCGGTGCATCTTCATATGACTGATTTCATGTCATATATTATCTTCATGACAGCCGCTGGGGAGATTTCACTGAGTCGACCTCAAGGTCAAACTTCTTGTTATAAACACCAAATTTTTGACTTTGATGATTGACTGTACATTTGAATGGGAACTAGTAATGTTTACGTCTAAAATTTGCACAGTTGGACTAGGATGTTTTCCATGACGTAGAATAAGATAACATCAGAAGAAATACTTCAAAACAGCTTGAAAATATTTTGTTTCAATGCAAAAGCGATAATAAAGTAGTAGCTACATGTGTCTATCATTTCTTATCGATAATTTTTCCTTTCAATTCCCAGCTGGAATAAACCTTAGAACCAAATATCAGTCGAAAGGCTAAGGTATTTAGTCTGTAATGAAATATTGCCTGTGATATATATATATTAATATGATTTGTATTTTGTTGTTTTACTGGATTCCATGAACGTTTAAAGATTTTTTTTTTAGCTATTTCAACTTTATTTCTTTCACTAAAACTTGTTTCTTTATCGTTTAAATATCTTCACTTGATACAAATTCATGTTTATCAAGTTCAAACGCACAATATCCTATACACCGGTCTCAGTGGAAATCAGTTGTATTGTGTGTTCACCTTGCATTTGAAATTCCATAACATTGACTTGTATCATATGAGCGAAACTAACTGTAGTCCCATCAAGATAACAGTTTAAACCTTGTAAAACATTTTGTTGAATTTCCTTCTGCATTTTCTGTTTGCGAAATCATATTTCATGATTTCAAAGCATAAAGATTTTGATTAGTTTTGCCTGATTAATGTGCGTCATATGGTGGACACCTTGTTTATTGTTTACAATATTCCTCCTTCAGTTTAATTTGTCATTATTAATCAATTATTAATTGTTACCTTCCAGTTACTGTTGTAAATCTAACTTGTGATTCCATTCAAGAAGTGACGGCATTCTTGTAGAATAAATTTTTGAGCCCCATTAAGTTTTTAATGCAACCTCGATTTTATATGAAATTGACAACTATGAATTTAGGACTGAGATTTCAGTGCGGGAAACAATGTTTCGAAGACTTGAGGATGATAGATTTTGAGATGAGAAGAAATATCCGTTCAATTATTTGCCAGTTCAATTTTATTCAGCAAGTAATTACAGTTTGCAAGAAGCTTTACACGGAATTTCATCGTGAAATGCATGATAGCTGAGATCTTTTACAATCGATATTCCAGCTCATGAAAATCCAATACCTAATTGAACTGGAAAATGATAACTGCCTTGTAATTCGATAAAAATGCAGACTTCTTTTTAACTTCAATCCTCACCTTTTTATATTTTTACAGTGACTTGAAAAAGCCTGAATTATATGAATGTGAACGCGTGTATAAATACCCTTAGTGGTCACTCAGTTTTTTGTAAATAGAAAAGGCGGTAATAGAACAAAAGACATATTCAAAACGTCAACGGTAAGATCAAACAATATATACAAATGTTAATGATGGACAGTGGCTAGCAGTGGGATCTAAGATGTGCAGTTCGTCCCACTTGAGACTCGTCAGCTGGATGTACCTGCTTCCCAGTGAGTGATGTTGTCCCCACCGGAGCCCATATACCAATAGAGACAGATCAATTTGGTCCAATCAACGACGATATGATGTGAAAACAATTATACTAATGTATAGAAATTACAAGGCTAATGTATATATTACCATGATCTTGGCTTTTTCCAGGCCTACTAGATTTAAATTCTGTCGATTTTTTATCTCTTCAACCAATCTTATACTTACACATTGGTTCACATGTTTTTCTTCCGAACCTTCGAAACAAATCTATTGGTTGAAAAAAGCTCTAAGCATGTGAGGCTTGTCATGAAAATATTGTCAATCTTTCTGCGCCCTGTATGACTACATTTTTTATTATTTCAGATGGCTCAGAAGATAGTCACTGTAGCTTACAACAACGGAATTAACGTCTTTGAGACTGGAGAATCCTATTCAAATGGAGAGTAAGTTAAATGACCGAAAATATGACGTCACAGCTCTGCTATTTTTAGCCACTAACATAAAATTCTTCCTTTCGAAGAAAAATATATTTTCACTGACTTCATATTATCTATCTAACAGAGAAAACATCTCTAGCCTGAGGGATAAACATTCATAGCAGTAGGCTAATTGTAGTTTCAAGTTAATTTCGATTCATTGCGATTCACAAAATAATCACTATTACGTATCTAGCTCAGTGATCTGCCGACTCAGAATGAACCAGCCAAGAACCTGTCGCTCACTAGACATGCAGAAAGAAGTGGAGATGGATTGGGCATGCACTGAAAAGACCATTTGTGGACATCACGCGCGAGGCAGTCGAGTGGAACCCAAATGGGGAACGGCGAGTTGTGCGTCCGAGACGACGGTGACATGAAGGAGATCGTGTGAGGAAGAAATAAGAGGTTGTAGGCAGTGGTGAAGCCAGGTTGAAAAGATTGCAGAGAACAGAGTGGAATGGAGACGTGCTACTGAAGCCCGATGTTCCACTAGGAACCCAAGGGACAAATTATTATAATAATAATAACTCATTTTTATCATCTATCTCTCTCTGTGACCAGTTGTTAGAGAAATTTGTATTGCAGGGAACGCATATTTCATTAGCTTAATTATCATTCTGAACTGTATGAAATGTAATTAGAAACTGAGATATATTATAGGAACCAAAAATCATTGATTTTGCGTTCAAAAGAATATTGAGGAATGACTAAACAATATCAGACATAAGTAGTAGTAAATGTCCTTCAGCAAATTTTATTTCCGTAAGCATAAAAAACTTGTCACAGTATCTTTCAATGGAATTCTCACTGAAGTATTCTGCTGATGATGATATTTTATCGAGTGAAGAAGATTAGTCGATACATAAGTGAAGTATCATGATTTTTGAATATGCTAATGAGTTTAATTATGTTTTTCATTCATAGTTAAAACAGTTTTAAATGTCTTGCATGATTCAGTGTTCATATTTATAGTCACTTTAACTATCTGAAATGGCTGATATTGGACAGACATTTATTGGTACTGGGTGAGGACTGAAGGCGAAATAAAAATCTGCGCCACGATAAGTTTCGAACCAATGACCACTGCTTTGCGTTCTCTAAACCATCCATTTATACACTGATTTCAGGGTGTGAATATAACTTATTAGATGGCTTTTCAAAATTAAGCCTACAATAATTCCGTAGAGATGTCTAGTCAATTCTTTTCTATAAACTATAGAACGCAGTTTGACTGATAATTAAAGCAGTAAACTGAGTTGAGGACGTCACTCAATGCAGAGAAAATGTACAACTGTTTATCACCATAACATATTATTCGGTTAGCAAGATCACTGAACCCATTGGCATCATTCTTCATACTACTGTTATGGTACAGCACTTCAAATTGAGTACTTCAACAGAATTAACAGTAGTTCGGTTGGTGGTTAGTGGTGATGTACTGCTTTCAAGGTAGTATTCATTCATCAGCTGACATTATTTGAAGAACCACTGATGACCTGAGAGAGCTGGATCACTGTTTTATCCCAATGTGGAAGTCCTTGGCAGTGAGCATCCACGACCGTGTCAGGAACCGAGCCACGGACTAACAAATCTCTCATGATGCGCAGTGCCATTAAGCCACTGCGTCAACTTCCAGTGGTTCATATTTCTTAGTTCCGTCAGTTAGTCACCCAGCATGAACATCATACGATAGGACTGACGAGGATTGATCCCATACTCGACTTGGCTGACCTCAAATATAGCGACTTTTCATCAGAACTTTGGAAAGTTAATTTTCAAAATGCCGTCTATTTTATTTTTTAACAAGTAACAGATTTTGACTCCATTTGTTCGATGAAGATCCTAAGTTTAGTAATCCTGAATGTCATATATACATGTAATGTTTTCTTTTAAGGCTTAAAAACCCCAAATTTTATGTATATTTAATAACAGAGTTTTTAGATAATTCCAGTACTCTTACGTTATCTTGCTTAGTATGAGTTAGGGGTGTAGTTTCATCAAATGTAAGCTCCTCATACTAATAAAGGATGGTTGCGAATGGAACACTGTAGAGTAAATATTCTGAAAATTTACTTGTCGGTGTCAAGAATGTTTAAATAATTTAAGCTGGTGACCGTACTAGAGGCCGCTGTCAAAGACCCAAAGCAATGTAGCTTGTATCATCCAATCTGGCTAGGGGGTGGGTATTTGGTTACAGTTGCTGACAGACTACTGAACCTGGCAAGTTGTCTACCAACCGCCTATACAGTAAGGACTGAAATGCTTGAGGGCCACCGTCTAACAATGGTAGGAGGATGGTTAAAATTAAGAGAGCGATGACTGTAACATACAGCCGGTCTTAAAGCGAAAATCCGTGCCAAGTACTCACTATCGTTCTTACCAAAGAGGTAAAAGTAGGTAATTGGGATTTTGGATTATTTTCTCCTGGTAGAAGTGACTCACCTGACGTGCACATCGTGTGTGTCTAATCGAAAGCCAGTCAATCAGTCAGTGATTAATAGCTGACCCAGAAGCAGTTTAGGCTTGTAAAGCCTAAGTAGCAATAAAATGCTTTTAACATCTCAAGTAGGCTAGAAAGATTACAGAATATAAAAGCATCATGTGTTTTCAAAAAAGATTGTCAAAAATCTATTCATTACACGAAACTTTACTCACTAAAATATCCACTGCATTTTTTGCTGTTAATCAAGGGATATTGTTTATTCTCTTATATAGAGCCTTCCAAGGTATGAATGTATCCTGAATAAACGTGTATTGTTTAGATATAAAGCTAAATAACTAAGCATATCATTGACATATGGTTAGCTTATGTTTTTCAGACAGTTACTTGTGAAGTGCTCATTCACAGGTTAGAGTGATAAAATACGGTGTAAAAGTACTAGAAAGGAAACAATCAAACGTAAAATATAGTAAAGATGTGTCGAAATAAGCATAAACGTTTCACCACCATATTCATGTATTTATCAATTCTAATTCTTTATTAGGTTTGAAATCCAGTAAACAGAAAGTCAGTGAGTTTCATTTCTTATTGCGGGTTGTCAAACAAGCACCTGACAACTCAGTAGGGGTCTAATATTTGTAAAGTGTTACTCCAGTGGAAATTATCGTTTGCTATAACACATCAAATGTTCTTCAGCCAATTTTGTGAAACTATGTGGCAGAATCAGGTCCTAATGGGCTTTCAAATAAAAGCATACCTGGTTTGTTGCCTGAGGGAAGGATGGTTCTGAACATCGTCTGCTGTAAGAACTCAAGAAGAAATAATTTAATGACATTCAGGTATTTCATACATCTGTGATGTGTAGAGACTTTAGGTGCCTGAATATTTGGCTTCCGTGCAGTTCAGTCTCAAATTATGTTGACTTTATTTGAAAGAGCACTTACACTATAGAAAGGATTAGTCATTTTCCCCTAGACTACCGTTGGCCCCCCTGGTTAGGTCGTGAGTGTGCGAAGCTAAGGAGCCATATATATGAATGAAACAGCTATCCGGTGCTCCCATGCTCCTAATGTTTCTCCAACTGATGTTATTTTATGGTGAATACCAACCTAAAATGTTTTCAGGCACTGTACACACAGAGAGATATCTCAATAAGCATGGAACACATAAAATAATGGCAGAAAATACAACATAATACGTGGTGTAGATCCTTGACTTCACTTTATCTGATTGTACACTTCTTTAACAGTTTCCTAAATTTGTAATAATCCACCAAGTGAAACAACGGGGTTTCTTATAGATAATCTTAGAAGGAGTCACCTCAACTTTCTCTTCGTAGGCAAAGAATAAGTTTCTTTCTACCTTTTTGGCATGTATGGAATTATCCTGGAGTTGAACTTTTTCTGCTCCTGCCTGTTACACTTCTTCATGCTTTACTTTATTCTCAGATTTATTAAAAAGACGGAATCAGGAGAAAGGAGTGATGTATATTTTCCAAATACTTCCATGTTCTCATTTATATATTTTTTACTCTAAACTATTAATGTTGTTCCTTGTATTGTTGCGTCGTTGATTAGACAGAATATGATAGATCTCTGTTGACATTTGGGCTCCTGCACTGATGTCTCAACGTTACCTATGTTTCAACTTCATATTATTTATGGGTAGTGGCTAACAGTGGAATCCAGGATGCGTGTTTTATCCTATTTGGGACTTGTCAGTTGTGTGCCAGCCTCCTAGTGAGCGATGTTGTTCCTTATAGGACTCGAACTTGGGACCAGTGGCTTCAAATATAAGAGGCACCGAATTACGACAGCCACTTCCTGTGCCTTGAGTGTACTTTTAATGTTGGTTCCGCTGCTAGTCACAATCCAACATTCATATAATATTCTAAACTATGTTGAACAATTGATCAACTCAAGAAAATTCACTGTTTATTTTAATAATTATAAACACTTAACGAAAGCAGACAGTAAATTAACAAATACTTTTCTTTAACTTTTAATAATCAACTCCATTTTCCTAAAGTTATTCTAATTCCAGAAAACAATGGTCGAAAAGTAATCAATAGACAGAGGGATACTGATGTCAGATAATTAGTGTCAACTTAACTAATTTGAATGTGCCTTTCTCGCTAAAATTTCGCGCTGAAAGTGTGACTGATTGATATTCAACGCCTGAATTTAACAATAATTTACCTATATCAACAGAGCCTCTGGTGTTAGCAGACTTTAGGAATTTCACTACCGTTTCTGAGTAATTTTTGAGCAATAATAAAATAATTTTTTTAAAGGAAACAACAATAGGGTTCGAGCTAACCTACTAAGTAGTATAGTGTCAATAAAATATCAGGTAATCACTTGATGAATTTCCTTAGTTAAATGGTCGCATACCTCATCATTACGGAAACAGTCAGTCTCAGTTTTATTTTAGATTGTAGCAATATTTTGGCAACCTTATCTTCCATCTTAATGGATAAGATATAAAAAATCTGAGAGTCCTTCTCACATGTTTTGATTTCGTT